CTCGTGCTCTATTTAATAAAGGCACGCAAGCCCACTAACGTCGTTTTTCTTCAAAATTTATTCTTACTTCTTCTCCCTCACTTAGATTAGTCATATACGTCTTCTTCACGACCCCTTTTAACTACAGATAAAATATTATTATTTAATTATAGTTTTCTCACGTATAAAATATTTTATTCCAAAATATTCCTTTCATCTATCACTCCTTTTTCGCACTTACATTTACATCCATCAACCTTCTGTCTCGTCGATGAGATCATATTGGCTCTTATACGAGGGTACGGGGTGTTACATATGTAATATAACCAATTTGACATTGGTATCATTTTAATATTATTTTATCTAAAAATTATTATTTTACTTCAAAATTTTCTCTAGCCTTCTAGAGCTCCAAAATACGTTTGCCCCAATTTAGCTTTATAGCACCTTTTAACTCCACGACTTCAACCTCAATAAGATATTATTATTTTATTATTATTTTATCGCACATGGAATATTTTACTCTAGAATATTCCTTTCACCATTCAACACTTTCAAACACTTTAATTAATCTCAATTGATATCCAATAAGCTCTATTAGCCATCATATTAAAGTATGGGGTGTTACAATACTCATTTGATGAACTACAAGATGCATGACTTAGTATTTGAATTCAAAGAAATGACATCGAAATACAAGAACATCATATCCAAGCTTAAAATAGAAAACAAGTTCTTAGTCAAGACAAAGTAGAACTAGAACATAATCAAAGACTTGCAAATTAAGAGAAATGAGCTGAAAAGGAAGAATGAGAATTTGCATGCCACATTCTCAAAGTTTAACAAGAGTCAACAAAAATTAAATGATATGTTAGAATCAGAAAGTGCTTTCTTTGATAAAGAAAGAATAGGATATGATGGGACTAAAAAAGAAATACATCTTAAAAATTTCTTTGTTAAAGAAACTATAAATTTTGGGTCTTCCATCAAATGCATTTATTGTTATAAAGTAAGACACTCTACTAACACTTGCCCTTTGAGAACTATTACCATTAGAGGCAAGGATATAAAAGTGTATGGGTTCTAAAATGAATAAAGCCTCCACATGGTAAGGTAGTGAAATTGGAGTGGGTTTCAAAAGGAACCAAAGACACTAACACATATGGACCCAAGAAAATTTGGGTACCATAGTCCAATGTTTAATTTTGTCTTTGTAGGAGGAGCTCACTTGCTTGAAATCAAGAGCACAAGAAAAAAGAAAATGGTTATTCGATAGTGGGTGCTCTAGACACATGACTGGAACCAAAGAGTTCTTCAAGGAATTAAAACCAAAGGAAGGAGGAAATGTAAATTTTGGTGACAACTCAAAAGGTCACAGAGAAGGTATTGGCATAATTGGTAAAACTTACTCTTCTCAAATTGAGAATATACTATTTATAGATGGCCTTAAACGTAATTTGTTAAGCATGAGTCAACTTTATGATAAAGGCCTTAGAGTCATCTTTGAATTATTAATATGCCATGTTGTTGATATTAAGACAGATAAAACTCTATTGTTGGCAATAGACAAGGTAACACATATGTAGTTTTCTTGGATGATTTATCTTTTGACAATGCATGTTTCATGGCTCAAAAGAATAAGGATAGTTGGCTATGGAATATAAAACTAGGACATGCTAGCATGAACACAATCTCAAAACTGCTATCTTTAGATCTTGTAGTAGGACTTCGTAAGCTAAATTTTGAAAATGATCAACTTTGTGCTGCTTGTGCTGAAGGTAAACATAGGAGAAGCTCATGCAAATCTAAAAAGGGTGTAACCGCGATTAGAACCTTGCAATTACTTCACATAAATCCTTTTGGACCAACTAGGTCCACTAACTTAGGTGGAAAGAATTATGGCTTAGTAGTTGTGGATGACTCTACAACATTCTCTTGGGTTTTCTTTCTTGCAATTAAAGATGAAGCCTTAAAAATCTTCACTTCTTTTTGCAAAAGAGTTCAAAATGAAAAAAGATATAAGCTAACAAATGTTAGAAGTGATCATGGAAAAGAATTTGAAGACTTAGGTTTTGACCAATTTTATAATGAAAATGGATATAGTCACAATTTTTTAGCTCTTAGGATGCCACAACAAAATGGAGTAGTGGAAAGAATAAATAAGACTTTAGAAGAAATGACTAAAATTATGCTATGTGAAAATAACTTATCGAGATAGTTTTGGGTTGAAGCTGTCAATACTTGTTGCTATATCATAAATAGTGCAATGGTTAGACCATCTTAAAGAAAACTCCTTATGAACTGTACAAAGGAAAGAAACATAATATTACTTACTTTTATCCATTTGGTTGCAAATGCTATGTCTTAAATGATGGAAAGGATAATCTGGGTAAATTTGATGCTAAAAGTGATAAAAAAGTCTTTCTAGATATTCCTTAACCTCCAAAGCATATAGAATATTCAACAAGAGAACATTAGTTGTCGAAGAATCTATTCATTTGTTGTTTGATGATTTCAACCCTCATTCTAGAAAGGAACATTATGATAATGATTTATGTATCCTTAAAGAACAAGTTGAGGAGCTTGATCTCAACATTGAAGGATTCAAAGTAAATGAAAAGGCATGATAAAAGGAAGAGCAAAACATTGAACCAATAATTAAAGAAAGTGAGCCTAGCTATCCAATGGTAAGAAGAAAAGTTGATGAAAGCAAAATCATTGGTGATCCTAATCAAGGGGTAAAAACTAGGTCTAAGGTTCAAAATGTTTGTAAATATGTTGCTTTTATCTCATAAATTGAACCTAAGAACATTGATGAAGATTTAGATTATGACTATTGGATACTAGCCCTGCAAGAAGAATTAAATCAATTTGAAAGATGTCAAGTGTGGGAGCTAGTTCCTAGGTTAAATGATTACCCAACTATAGGTACAAAATGGGTCTTTAGAAACAAAATGGGTGAAAATGGAGTCATAACTAGAAACAAAGCGAGGTTAATTGCCAAAGCATATAGTCAAGAGGAAAGTATAGACTATGATCAAACCTATTTTCTAGTAACTAGCTCAGAAGCAATTAGGATATTATTAACCTTTGCATGCTATATGAACTTTAAAGTTTATCAAATGGATGTTAAAAGTGCTTTTTTAAATGGGTTAATTGACAAGGAATTGTATGTTGAACAACCGCCCGGTTTTAAAAGCCTAACTTTTCCAAATCATGTCTTTATATTAAGAAAAGCATTATATGGGTTAAAACAAGCCCCTAGAACTTGGTATGAAACGTTATCAAAATTATTAATAAAAAATGAATTTAATAGAAGAAAGGTTGATAAAACTCTTGTCATTAAAAGCAAAGGCAAAGACATCTTAATTGTGCAAGTTTATGTTGATGATAATATTTTTGGTGACACTAATGAGATTCCTTGTCAAGAATTTGCTAAGACTATGCAAGGAGAATTTGAGATGAGTGTGATGGCAAATTAAACAAAAAGAAGAGGGCACATTCATCAGTCAAGCCAAATGCACAAAAGATGTTCTTAAGAAGTTTCATATGGATAGCTCAAGAACATATCACACACTAATGAGCACTTCAACCATACTTGATAAGAATGAACAAGGTACGTGTGTTGACCAAAAGCTATATAGATCTATGATTGGTTTCTTACTTTATCTCACTGTTGGTAAAATAGATATAAACTTTAGTGTAAGCCTATGTGCTAGGTTTCAATCATCTGCTAGAAAATCACACTTAAGTGCTGTCAAAAGAATTTTCAGATATTTGAAAGAAACATCTAATTTAGGAATATGGTATTTAAAGAGTTCCACCTTTGATCTTCACTCATACTTGAATGTTGATTTTGGTGGGTGTAAGATAGATAGGAAGAGCACATCCAGTACATGTCAATTTTTAGCTAGTATGTTAATCTCATGGTTTTCAAAGAAACAAAATAGTTTAGCACAATCCATTACTGAAGCTGAATATGTACTTGTCGGAAGTTGTTGTCCTCAAGCATTACGAATGAAACAGCAATTAGAAGATTATGGACTAGTTATGGAAATAGCTCCCATAAAATGGGACATCATTAGTGCC